TAAAGAAACAAGCAGAGAAGAATGCAGCATGCACAGTCAACTCAGCAGAAAGAGTCTGAGATGAAGAACTCGAGAAGATGCCGCATCTGCCTGAGGACGGTGAACTCGTTTTGACCCTCAAATTCTTGGGTCGACTTACTAGGCGTTGTGGGCTGCACGTGCCGATTCACCACCCTTGAATCAAATCCTTAAAGACCAAGTCACCAATTGGAAGAGGAGCCCATCAATCTCGAAGATCATACCGTTGACCAAACTACTCAGGTGTGAATTAGAAAGATTGAACAAAGCAACAAGTCGTCACCTTCACCTCGTGCCTGCTTGCCGTGTGTTCGTTCGAGTCAGCCTTCAAGAATCAAGCCTCAACGGCCCTTAAGAAGCTTCCAGCCAAATTCAAAATCAAGCCTCGACGGCCCTGGAAGAAATCACAAGTCCGATTCAAGATTAAGTGTCTACCACCCTTGAATCAAAACCTACTTGAATCAAACCTAGTTCAAGAATAAGCTGTGGAAAATCAACAATTGGAGGAATCTAGAAAATCCTTCAACCCAGTTCAAGATCAAAGCTGTGGAAAGTCAACAAAGCGCAACAAAATACGTGTCGATTCACCCACTACCAAAGCCAAAGATCATCTACCACATGAAGCTCCTTGTGGTCCAATTTCAACCTTCAAGATCAAGCCTCGACGGCCCTTGAAGAAATTTCAAACAAAAGTTCAAGAACAAGCCTCAACGGCTCTTGAAGAAATCTCAAGCCCAATTCAAGATCAAGCCTTAACGGCCCTTGAAGAAATCTCCAGCCCAATTCAAGATCAAGCCTCGACGGCCCTTGGATCGGCAACTACAGTAAGGGACTTCAAAACGCATCTCTTACACGTGACAAGCACATGTATACGACGCGCCTTGAAGTGGGGGCATTTGTAGACATCGAAATTTCGGTAAATAAATGTTGACCGATAAATCAAAGTGTCAACGCTCATGTATTACATAAATTTTACACGTAACGTGTGACTCAACGAAAATTGAAATGAGTTGGAAAAGTCATCAAATAGGACACGTGTCAACACCTGGCAGAAATGACTTATTTCATCTGGGATATTATATTCAAAATTAGGCTTTGGAAAATTCTATAAATAGAAGCCAATTTCATTCATTTGGAAACCAATTCATATTACACCTTGAAGCTCTGAAGCTCTGAAACTCCGAAGCTCTCGAGCATCCAGGTTCCCGAAGAATCAAGAAAGCCTTCTTCGTTCTTCGTTCATCGTTCTTCCAAGATCAAGCCCCAACGGCCCTTGGATCAACCATCCACCAATTCAAGATCAAGCCCCGACGGCCCTTGAAGAAAGCACCATCGTTCATCATCATCTGTTCATCCAAGATCAAGCCCCAACGGCCCTTTGGATCAACAACATCAACAAATCCACACATCCAACCGTTCTTCAAGATCAAGCCCAAAAGCCCTTGAAGATCCGTTCATCACTGTTCTTCAAGACCAAGCCCAAAAGCCCTTGAAGATCCGTTCATCACCGTTATTCAAGATCAAGCCTTAACGGCCCTTGAAGAAACACTCATCCTCAAGATTAAGCCCAACGGCTCCTTGAAGATCCGCTCAAATCCACCTTCAAAGATCAAGCCCACGGCCCCTTGAAGAAACTTCCAACAGTTCATCCAAGATCAAGCCTCGACGGCCCTTGGATCAACGAAACATCCACAAATCAACACCTTACGGAGATCGAATCAGAGGATCAAATTAGAGAGAGATTGTAACCCAAAATCATCAAACACCAAATATTTGTTTATGCACGTTGTTCTTGTCTCTTTCGTTTCAGGAATTTTCCGTGTTCACAATTATATACTACAAATATACGATATGCTCACATTACAATAGCTACATCATCTCAATAAATATTTGCACCATCTCAACATTGTCGATATCGTAATAAAACCATCTAATATAATATATGTGCTATATATAAAAATGTAATTTAGATATATTTCACCCTATCAATATAATGTCTATATCGTTGTTCTTGTCTATATTTCTATTTTGCATAAACACTTTTAAAATTAGTCTATAATAGCTTATTTCCCAAATGAAGAATATGCATTTTCGTCTCGAGTTAAAAGCCTTTGCCTTTCTCAATATTATTTCCTAAAGCTTGCTTCAGAAACATCTTACATTGACAATGTATGGTTATAGTTGAAAAACAGTTGTTAATGAATTCCACACAATAGTAGAATTACTTGAGCGTTCCTACAACCAAGAAAATAATAAACATATTAGACCTTGTCACACTAATGGATGATGAAAATTCAAGAGCTTGACGTTAGAGGAACTGTTGCCTTTCATGATTGAAGGTCAAGTTCTTATATACTCGTAGGATTAAACTTGAAGATGATTCATTAAGGTACGTGTGACATACTGTAATTGGAGGGCTTGAGACTCGTTATCCCTCCCATCAAGTCAATAGCCGTTTGACTTGGAGAATTGTGATAAGCGGGGCCATTAAGAATCTAGAACGGGGAAGGCTCTTAACCTCATTGGATATCATAGTCTATAATTGAGCCATATAATTTTAAGGATTATCATCGTATCATTGAATTGCATGTACGAAAAAGTTCAAGATATACACAATTAAATGGATTTATACATAAGCATATACCAAGTAATAAGAAATAACAATAAATTGCATGTACAAAAAGGTTTGAAAATATTCAAAAACTTGTAATGGATTTTTGAATTATGTTCCCAAATTTTCAATGTTATTCTGATTCCAAACATTTCGAATATACTCAAAGTTCTGAATTTAAAAATTGTTATATAATCTGATCTAATTCCAAAACTTTAGAATGCAAATTGGAAACATTATTTCTGATCCGTTCGATTCATCCAAATATTACCCTGAATTGGGCGAGTTCATCTGTTTGGAAGCTTTCAATCCACCTGTCTTAACCTCATTAGGTGATACTCTCTTGTTACTACTGTTCTATTCAGCTTTTTTTTCTTTGTTCTGCTCATTGCGCATGTACGAAATATATTTATTTTTTCTTTTACAGAATTTTATACGTAGTGGCATGACATGTAACATGCACTGTCCCACCGAGCTGAAGCTTATCCTTCATCAACTCCCTGTCACCGGTTGACTCGTCCTGGTATTAAAACTTTATCTTGATTTGGTAGCCATCTACGGGGGAGCTCCCCAAGCCTCCAACTAAGTAGATTTACATGAACTCGACTACAACACTTATTTAAGTAACATTGTCGACGTACATGACAATTTTACACTACGGTCAAAACTGTAGTGACTTGTAGTTCAAGTAATGTTAAGTAAAAGCGTTAAATAAAATTTGTAGGGGCATGTAGTTCAAGTAATGTTTGGAAAAAGAAATACTGCAAATGAAAATTGTAAACTCTATTGTTTAACTTAAAATCTGTAGGGGCATGTAGTTCATGCAACCTAATTAAAATGAAAATTATAAACTCTATTGTTTGGAAAAAGAAATACTGCAAATAATAAGTAGAATCATTGTGTAACGTGTCATATTTGAGAATAAAATAAACATTCCCTAGAATCATCTTCTCTCATCCTTTCTTGTTTTCGTCTTAGTGAATATAACTCCCATATTGAGAATGAAAGGAACATTTGTTTGATTTTTCTACTCTCTGGATTAGCTGATTGTTCTACATACTACAATGTCTTGTTACTTAAATGCGGAGTTATGTCGCGATGCGGCTTTCATTCATGGTGTTAGTCATGATTTAGGTTTATGGATTAAATTAGGGTTTTATTTGTTTTAGGTTGCATGAGTTTGAATACATATTATGCTATTATGCTAGGTTTTGGTCACGTGGTTTTTTAAGTTATTTGTGCGTCTTTTGAGTGCTTTAGTTTTTTCAATCTGGTTGTTTCTGCAATCCTTTTGCAATTAGTGTCATGTACACATTTCAAGTGTCATGTACACGCTTTAAATATCTTATTGAGGTTTTTTTTTAATAATGCCTATATGATATAAAAAAACATGATCCATCTAGAGCCTGAATAATATTAAAAAAAAATGTGATCCATCTAGTCTTAGTGGCATCATAATTTGTAATTTTTCTTTAGTAGTATGTAACACTAAGTGATGCAAAAATGAAAAACCAAAACAGTTATGACAATTAAATCTAATTGATAAAACACCACTAGAGTTGATTAATGTAAGCTAACGTTGAAACCACATCCTACCTTTGAACTTGACATCTTGGACAATGCTTGATTCCTCCTTGCAAATAATGACAAACTATCCGCTGAGTTTTATATGCATGACATGAACTGATAAAAGTAGTAGGACCAAATTAAACTGTTTTTAATGACAACTGTTTAAAATCATGAAGTGATATAAGTTACGCTTAATTTTTTTTATACAAAAAGCGATACGAGCTACTTTGAAAAGAAACAAATTAATGTGGTTAAAGTCCAACTTCTCTTATTAAAATAAGAAGAATTAATATAACACATGAGAAATGAGACCCAAATAAACAGTTTTTTTAAAACAAATATGATGCTTAGGACAAAAAATCTTTTCGTGTCCAAGTGAAAAAGCAATCTTTATGCAAGGAGTTAAAAATAAAAGGTTGAATCCAGCCTTTTAATTTCACATACCGTGACTTACCATCCTTCATTCAAAAAAGAGAAAGGAAAAAGTGAAGTGGGAGTCCAAATCAAACCATTCACATCAGTTGTTCAATGTACAAATTGCAACTGAGCAACAAAACAAAAACAAAGCAATCTAGCTGTCTGTGATTGTTGCATCCAGTTGCAGTAACTCCTAGCTCTGTATGTGTGTGTGTGTATACATATACATACATACATACATACATACATACATATATATATATATATATTGCTATAATGATTAAGTAGGAGAAAGGATTTTGGATTTGTGAGGTGTACTTGTGCAATTTTTATTGCTTCTTTGAAAGGGTTTGTTTTGGAGGAAGGAAACCGAGAAAAATAAGGCAAAGGGGGAACCCCTAGCAGTCTGGTTTTTCTGTTCTAGATCGTAGTGTCTTTCCATTTAAAGGCAAGTGAACGCTCTAGTTGTTTTGAAGCATCATTTCCCACTTTGGTCATTCAACCAAAAAGCTTCCTTTCGACCTTTCATGTAAGTTTTTCTCCTTGTTCGACTGCTTGCACAAAGCTAATTCGAAGAAAATACAACAAAGGTTTCTTGTATTGTGAATTATGAAGAGGTTCAGCAGCTCAGATTCATTGGGTGCTTTGGTCTCCAATTTCCCATCAAAAGGTAAAAGAAACCTGAAAAATCCTTTCCAACTTGTTTTTCTCCCAACTTTGGTATTTTAATGATGGATTTTAAGTCTCAATTTTTTTCCATTACTTGTAAATGCAGAGGGGGGGAAGCTTGCAAAGGACAACTATGGTTATAGCAAGGAGTTGCAGGCAATGTTAGATTCGTTAAACCAAGAAGATGTTGGGGAAGAAATGTCAGGGAAGAAAAGGCGATTGAATTCGGAGCAAGTCAAGGCATTGGAGAGAAACTTTGAGGTTGAGAACAAGTTAGAGCCAGAGAGGAAGGTCAAACTGGCTGAGGAATTAGGCCTGCAACCGAGACAAGTGGCAGTTTGGTTTCAAAACCGCCGCGCACGGTGGAAGACTAAGCAGTTGGAAAGAGACTACAGCATCCTCAAAACCGACTATGATGGTTTAAAGCTCAACTTTGCTAGCCTTGAGAGACAGAATAAAGCTCTTGCTGAAAAGGTTCATATTAGTGAAACACATTTTTTTTTGCATATTTTCAAGAAAAATGATTTCTGCAAACCCATTTTTTCGTTCTGCTCACCCTGTTTAATTACGTTCCTTGATCCTCCTTCATTTACTCAGTCTAAAAGTCCGAAATAAACAACGGTGTGCAGAAAGAAATTCACTTCTCTTTTTCTAAGGGGATCTTCGTATTTTTGCAGCTAAGGCAGTTAAAAGCAAAGCTGTGCGGAGAGACTGCAGAGAGGAACGATTCTGTGAAGGAAGAATCACCAATTTCAATGTGCAAAAGCAGTGAAAATTTAGAGGTGGATTTAATCAAGAACTTGAAATTCAAAGATGGCTCATCAGATAGTGATTCAAATGGCGTTCTTATGAAGGAAGAGAGCAATGGAAATTCATCTCTTGGATTTAATAATAATAGAAATTCAATTTCTTCAAATTCCATGGTGAATTGGTTTCAATTATCAGACTCCAGATCAGTGGGTGGAAAAGGGTTTCACGCTCAGACTGTGAGGATGGAAGAGCAGAGTTTTTTCAGCACAGATGAGTCCTGCAATTTCTTTTCAGTTGATCAAGCTCCAAGTCTTCATTGGTAAATCTGCTGAGCAGTAAAAATAGTTGGACCTTATTTAAAAGTTTTTTAATATGATCTAATAAAAATTGAATTTTGTAATTTAGGAGCAAAAATATCCAAGGTAAAGCTTTCTATTGGCCACATCAACAAATTATTAGTTTGCACATTTTCTGCTTAATTTTAAATTATAGTATTGGACTTTTGGTGCAACTGCTGTTAAAATTTGAAAGTTTCTTTTCATTGCTTGCACACTTTTATTTCTAGTCATCAACGTGTATAAATTAAACGAACACGACAAACATGATTTAATATTGGTAAGTAAGAGGGGACAAATAATGTGTATATCATTTCTCTAAAGTTTCTTCTAAAGTTTCTCACATGATTGTTAACCAAAGTTACAATGTTATAAATCCGAACTCTGTGCAATGTGATGCATCATACAAAGGTGGTACAAACTACATATTTAGTTGTCAACTTCTCACTTCCATGAGATTCTGCAGCTCACTGACTGCTCTGCAAAGGATTAAACAACACTACCAAGTTGGCATGTAGACATAAAGCTGCCCTCTTTTTTTCTTCACGTATTCGTGTTTTGTTTTATGAAATCAGTGTCTCACTTTTGTTACATCACGTTTTGTTTTATGAAACGAGTGTCTCACTTTTATTACATCACGTGCATAGCATGCGCAACCATGAATATATAATAACCATTTTATTCAATACTACGCACATAATGTAGCAGACAGCCATTTCATTTTTCTATAAATTGTAGACTCCATTAAGTAGTATTTCAGTTACATAACAGCAATATGTTCCTACCCAGATGACCCTTTTTCAATTTCTCTCTCTTTTTCTTTTTTATTTGCGATGGGAGACTATCAACCCATGTGGTTGGTGAAAAAGTATTATCCTGATCAACATCTAACACATGGAATTGCAAGACTACTGAGTACTGAGGCAGTAGCCCCTTTTCTACAAGCGGTACCACTCCCTAAAGATAGAGGTGACCACTCACAACATTGACAAACCACTGCCCTTAAGTTAAATTGTCCTTGACTACATTCCAAAGGTAAATGCATGTGAGTTTGCATTCGGGAAAATGATATCAGAATCCTTCGTGTGTGGGTGTGTGACTGTATTTTGGCATTTACTCATGCTTAATTGAAGTCTAGTTGTTAATACATGTTAGTGTAGGAGTCGGCAATTGAATTTTGGCCGTCAATGAGTTTCGTATAAGATTAAAATGTACTTAGGATAAAAAATTACTCTTGTGCAATTGAAGGCGAGTCATTATTGTATGTTAGTCTATAAGAGGGCGATTGAGTTTGGCCGTTGATGCATATAAGTTTCGTATTAATATGAGCTTCATAACAATTAAAAAGTTCCCACTCGTAAATGAAGTCTGGTCGTTAATGAATGTAAGCTTCATTATAGAACTCACTTGCATTTACATTCAGAAAGCCTAAACTCTAAACTATTTATGAGTATGTGAATGATCGATTCTAGCAGTTGCCTTCCTCCTCCTCCTCCTACTACTACTACTACTACTTACATAAAAAACCAACCAATGGAGTGCATGACTGATGATGGAATTGGTGTTATTTTAGATGTAGGAAAGTTAAAAGAAGGAAGCATAATCATTTTTATTTAGAGAAGTGATCGGAAAGTTGGTAATTCAGAAGTTAAAAGATTATTGGTTACTACCATATTCCAAAAGCGAATGTTTTGGATTCTTCAAGTTGTTCGGATTAACGCTACTTTGATTTGGCGTCTTAGTTTTGTGTTCTTAACATATGAATTTGAAGAAACGCTATTGTAGATCTCGTTATTATCCTGGAATCCAAATGTTATGAATCTAGAACTAATACGTCAAACCAAAATGACATTAATCCGAACAACTTGAAAATTTTAAAAATCCACTTTTGAGATGTGCAAAAGTAAATAATATTTTAACTCATGACTTACTAATTAAAAAAATTAATCATTTTTCTCAATTAAATGACATTTTCTTCTTTTTAACTTTTACGCATCTAATATAACTGCAATTTCTATCATCGGTGGCTGGAATTAAATTCCCAAAGAGGAAGTGAATTCATTGAATTGAATGGTAGATTTGATTTTTTACCTCCACGGGAGAGTAGGTTTTGTTCTGATTAAAAAAACTGGTGGAGTTGGAGAAGACACAAGTCCTTTTCCCACTTTTTCGCTCACTTTAGGTGGGAAAGAGACAGACCAAAAAGCTGCTGTGACTCCTATCTCCTCCTCCATGTCTCGATCATGTCAGAGGTGGGCTCATGTGCGTCATCCATGTTTGACTGGTAATGCACCCTATGGAATCTAGCTAACCCCAAAAGCTGAGAGATTTTCCATATGACAGCCAATCTCTGCGTGTTTCCTTCTTTCCGGTAGTGTGTGTGTATGGTAATCCCTATGAAACCTCCCGAAATACCCTTCCTTGATTTCTGTGCTGTGTTGTGACATGCAATGCAAATTGCAATTGCAAGGGTCCCATTTTACATTATTCATGCATGGGCACCCGCACTTCAGAGCAATTTTAGGCTCTTAGACTTCAATCTTGGTTAATCTTGCCCTTAGAACTTATTTCATGAATGGGATTGTAACTTGATGAGGTCCATGAGGATTCTGGTCTTAAGAAAGAGAATAGGAGACTCGTTACATGTAAAAAGAGCAAAAATGTATCAATATTGTGTTTCTTGGTCTAGTGGCAAATTTAGAATAAAATTCTTGAGGAGTCAGTGAGAAAATAGTATGTGGACGCAAAATTTTGTAGCGGAAACAACATATAAATTGATATTATGGCATTTCTTCGAATAGTTGGTGAGCTAGTTATATGTTGAGCCATGTTGCGCGGCTATTGACATGTGCAGACAACTTTCGTACGAGTCTGTAAATAGAGGTCGACAAACGACAAGAAAGTTTGTCGATAGATGCTAACAGCAATGCACACAAAGGTGATGCCAAGCAGTGTTGAGTCTTACAAATGCGTTTTGTCAAATATCTTATGTGCATGAAGTGGTTAACGTCCGAATGATCAAGGGTTCACTAGATTCCCAAAACATTTTTCAAGAATCAACTGGTCACATTGATCTCATCGTGAACCCGTCACTGTACTAGCCTTCTCTGTATCTCTAGTCACATACAAAAAGATAGTAGAACAACTTGTTAGACGTAAATTACTCTAAAGGCTAACGAGTGGTTTTAATGGCATCCGCTAACTTAATATTAAGTCCAACGTACTCCAAACCCAAATAGATATCCTAGAACATGAGGTTAGTATACATTTTTTTGTCACTTCAGTTTCTTTTTCGATCAACTATTTGTCGCTTTAGTTTAACCCCAAAAACCCTTCCTTGATTTCTCTGCTGTTGTGACATGCAAAGCAATTAAAGGGGTCCCATTTACATTAATCATGCATGGGCATCTAGACTAGAACAGTTTTAGCATCTAATCTTATTAGTTTACGTTATCCTTTGAAAATTTTGCATTTAGAATTAAATTGCAACTTGATGAGGATCGATTTTGGTCTCGAAAGAAAGGGTTCACGAGGAAACATGTTACATGTAAAAGTAGGGTAAAATTTACCAATAACGAGTTTCATTTTCTTTCTTTACATCTCTTAAGAAAGCAAGTAATACGTAAGTTATGTAGACAATTGGGTTGATGACATGCATATTGTGGAGTAAAAAATAATCACAATGCGACACGTGGATTTTCGGATAAAGAAGACAAAAATACTCTTGAGGTGTATCAGGATTCCTACTCGCGAGTAACAGACAATCATCCACAACCAAGTCAGAAATGCCTAAAATAGATAACAGTTCAAAACCTATTTCATTCCATATATTTTTTACCTCTTTTTTCCCCCTCTTTTAGCTAATCAATTAGCTATCATTACATAACCTTCAAAATATTCATTCCAAAAATATGTTAATTGGCTAATTAATGGATTAATTACCTAATTAATCCATTAAATGTCAATTAAGTCACCCAATTAACCACATAATATACCCATAAATCCCAAAGGGCCGGCCACCCTTGTTGATCTCATCATATTTACCTATTTTATCATATTAATTAGCTAGTTAATTTGGCAATAATTCTATTTGCTAAATTAACTAGTCAATTATTCCCATTATCCTATAAAAAGGCTCATATTTTCTCCAAAACACACTTCCAACTCTTGCTAAAGTTCTCTAGAATTCTCAAACATTTTTTCTCTCTAAATTCTAACTTTGGCATCGGAGGTTCTTCGGCCAAAGCTCCCCCCATTCATCGTGGGCGCATGAGGCTCTTGGCCTTGACCTAAGGTGTTAATTGTTTTGTAGGTGCAATTTTGTCCAAGATCAAGGAGGAAGAAATTTGCATCCACAAATTGGTGCTTTCATTGAGAGAAGAAATCCACACTCGTAGAAGACTCTCGCATAAAAAAGGTTTTTCTCTATTTTCTAGTCTAGTTGTATTTTTTCATACGTTCTTATTATTAGAATTTTTTATTTACAAAAATTCTTTGATAAAACATAAAAGAAGAATACAATGGCTAGAAATTTAGAAAATTCCACGAGTGAAAATTCCAATATCCAAGGAATGGGACCACGGCGATCCACGAGGTTAAATGCGACAATAAGTGGAGCGGCACCACCACCACGAGCTTCCACCAGGGGAACCATGCGGTGGCTACTTCGGTAGCCACCCGTGGTGAGGTCCATGGTGCCTTCACCACGGCCTGAGCCGTGCCATCCAAGGCAGCTCATGGTACTAAGGCCATGACCCAAGCTTCACTCTCGCATGCATCACGCACCGAGCAGCCCACTCTCGTGGCCCAGCCTGCTCCAGCCGAGCAACCCACTCTTATGCCCTAGCCTGCTCCCGCCGAGTAGCCCACTCTCATGGTCCAGCCTGCTCCAGCCGAGCAGCCCACTCTTATGCCCTAGCCTGCTCCCGCCGAGCAGCCTACTCGCGTGGCCCAACCTACTTCTACGGCCTAGTCTGCTCCCGTGGCCTTCCAAGTAGCTCGAATCGATTCAAGATTAGTTCAACTGTCCCGGCTCCAAATTTTCGGACCGACGATCGAACATCGAGAATTTTCACCATA